GGGTTTTTACAAAAAACCATAAGACCAGAATCTTTCTGCATGACACACTGCTTAGATTTCCCTGCCTGGCTGGGCTCAATTGGTCTGATTATGTTTATGACCACCCTGTCAGTATACCTGATAGTGAAGTGCATAGTCTAATCTTCAGACTTTTTTTTTTCAGCTGTGAAACTGTCAGTATGACAAAACAAGAAGTTTAAGTGTCTAATTGAAAGCTTTGCCTATAAAGGCTCACTTTTAGTTCATCTTTACTGAATATTTTGTCATCAGGGTGTGACCAGATGAGCAGAGTACATGTCAGGATGATTCATTAAATCACAAGTGATTGCATTTCATGTCATTTTCATGGGTTTCTCTCTGGATTAGGGCTCCGTAAGGAGTCATTCAGTTTTTACTCATTGATCAACGTGCTTCTAATGGCTTTGATTAGCAGCGCTGACATTAACATGGATCCGTAACTGATGAGGTTATACAGTGAAATGCTTAAGCTAATGAAAACCAGTCTTGCAGCATCACACTGGACTTACAAACATCCGTCATCCCGAGTTTAATCTGGCCCCGATGAGGTGGAACAGAGCAGAGAGGCACTGAAAGAGCAGGAGGCTGATGAATAGATGAGACCTACATGTATCCTATCATCCCTCTTAATGCCAGCACAGCAGACGTTTCCCATCATCCCTCACTCACTCCTCTGTATTTCTGCCAATCTGTCAGTTTGTCTTTGAAAGCTTTTTGCATTGTAACCATTTCTTTCTTTCTGCCAGACATTTGTCATCGATTCTCGGTAACAAGTTTGACCACGCGGCCGAGAGCGTCATGCCAACCCTGCTGAATCTCGTGCCCAACAGTGCCAAAGTCATGGCCACGTCCGGGGTGGCCGCCATCCGTCTCATCCTCAGGGTGAGTGATCTCAGAGCATTACTGCATGCAAATAACTGATCCTCGCAGAGCTGTCAGAAGAAATAATCCCTCCTGACATTTTCTTCTCTACCAGCACACACATTACCCACGGCTCATCCCCATCATCACCAGTAACTGCACCTCCAAATCAGTCGCAGTCAGACGGTAAGAATGCCTTTTAAAAGAAAACACACCAGCTGCAAGTTAAAAATAAAAGACAAGAATTTCAGTTTTCTTATTTGTTTTCCAATAAACCTGATTTTCTGTCAGGGAAAAATAAATCAAGATTAAAAAGAAAGAAAAATTTTAGGAAAAAAAGAGAAAATGTAGAAACTCAAGAACGGGGAGTAATCGGATAAAAACAAAATAAATATCAAATAAAGTAAAAAGCCACTTTACGTGTGTGTGTAAATATACACACACATATACAAATCCAAACTGTGAGCTGGTTCCACTGAAGAGGAGCCTGAAAGCTGAAGGCTCTGCCTCCTATCCTACTTTTAAATGCTCTAGGAACCACAAGTAAGCCAGCAGTCTGAGGGCGAAGTGCTTTAAAAGAGAAAGAAAAGAGTTGCTTCCTAGTAGGCTAGTACTTAAATTGTGAATGTTAAAATGTATAATAATATGTCAATAGTAAAATTTCATTATATATCTTTTCTTTTAACTTTTAGTCATTAAAATGAATATATTTTCAGAGGCATTAAAATATATATATATAAATGTATATACATAATGCAGTCATTAATGCCGCTGGGTGTTTTTAGATAATTTTTGAGGGCATGAGAGTTCATGTTCAAGTCGGAGCTTCAGCCACAGAAAGGTTATTGTTTACTTTAAATCCAGTGAAATGAATAATGAATGAATAAATACTCTGAAGTACTTTGCAGATATACATTTTACTCCTCAGCCCTAAAGGGCTGTCGGGGTGTTGTTGTCACCCCTCCAGGTGGGTGGCATGGACACCTAAGTTTGTGAATGTATTAACTCGAGAACGGGGTGATGTAGAATTTTCAAATAAATACCATAGGTGCATTTAATAAAAATGTCAGACAGGTTCGAATCTCAGTGACCAAAGGTGTAAAAAAGTATAAGGTGTAACAGGTTAAAGACGTATTCATATAAACTTTCATTTCTTTCCAGACGCTGTTACGAGTTTCTCGACCTCATGCTGCAGGAGTGGCACACCAATACACTGGAAAGGTGAGCTAGTCTGCTGTTTCCTCCTGGAAGCATACTATATAAGAGTGTGTGTGTGTGTGTGTGTGTGTGTGTGTGTGTGTGTGCGCGTGCATGCGTGCTGCTGAGGTGCAGACGTGCATGCAGCTTCTTCTTCTACTCTCTCATGATGACATTTAGGTTGTTGAGCATTTGCAGTTAGCTGAGCTGGCTCGCCGAGCTGCTGATGAGGCCCGTTAAATTGATGACTCCTGAGCGAGCCATCATCATCATCATCATCATCATCATCAAGGGGCCTGCTTGCCATATATGTAACCATGGCAACCGCAGCGGGGACTTTAAAAAGCGGGTGAAAAGCCCCACGGGTGGCTACATTCCCTGCGGATCAGCAGAGGATTCAAACTGTAGGAGAGAGGAACGAGGAACTCCCCTGAGAGCTGTTTGTGCTTCACATCATCAGTACAGCTCGTTTCTGTCTTAACCGTTTCTCCTTGCCATGTTTCCTTACTATCCCAGGCACGTGGCAGTTCTCACCGAGACCATCAAGAAAGGAATCCACGATGCCGACTCTGAAGCCAGATCCATCGCTAGAAAGTAAGTGTCCTGTCTTAAAATTCAATGAGAAACTTTAGTTTGGTTTTTTGTTTTTCACTACACTGCCTCTTCTCTTTTTTTCCACCCTGTAGGTGCTACTGGGGCTTTCACGGTCACTACAGCCGGGAGGCAGAACATCTTTTCCAGGCGCTGGAGGCCACCTATCAGAAGGCCCTCCAGTCTCACCTGAAGAGCTCAGACAGCATCGTGTCTCTGCCCCAGTCAGACCGGTCCTCGTCGTCTTCGCAGGAGAGTCTGAAGTAAGAACCGCGCTGCTCCTTGGCTCCTACTCTCCTCCTGCTAGAAGCCCTTGTGTCCCAGCATCCTCAAAGCTTGAGCACACATATTGGATTTCACTGACTGATATGAAACCACTAATGCGTCTGCTGTTTTCTGCTGTTTTGAATATGTTGATAAAGATGTTGGTAATTACTGTCAGATGTGCAGCGGGTGGGTGAATCAATCGCCATCATTAATCCCGTTTGTAGACTCCCTGTGGAGCGCGCTTGGGTAATGACCTCATGCTCGGCCCATCAGACCTGCAGCTGCAGTGGTCTCCAGTCTGAACTCATTTGTCCTTTGGGGTTATCCCAGTTTAGATGCTGATGAGTCAAAGCTTTTACTAGAACCTGAATTTGATAGTGCCAAAGTGGAGCCCACGCATTTTAATTTTATAAATCATGAGTCTTAGGTTGTGATTTTTCTTCCCCCAGCCGGCCACTGTCTGTGAAGAGCGTGATTGGAGGGAGCATGACGAGAAGTAAGTATCTTTTTATTCTATTCATCAGCGTGGAAAGGTTATAAAGTTGGTATAAAGGCTTCGGACTAATGGAAAGCTTCACAAAAAGCACAGATTCTTGAGGTCACAGGTTAAAGAGCTGGAATTATTTATTGATTCAATATTTTGAGTGGTGAAGAAGCAGTATTCTGCAGTATTCTGCAGCAGAAATCCACGTCTTCAGCTTTACTCTCGCTCTCTATGGTAACAAAGAGAGTGGTCTGTGAAGCAGCAGTAAATGAACTTCTCTTAACCTTTAAACTCATCAATCAGGTGCTCTGATAAAGGACTCTGATTGGAGGATTGAGGTGTATCCAGCGAGCAGGATTTCTGCATCAGAGACGAAGGTCCTCCAGAAATCAACCTTTTTGTAGCGGCTGAATATTAAATACTTTGGATGCAGTCTGAATGCGTCTGTTTTTAGTCACAAATATAAATAAAGCACTCACAATGATGTCTTGCAGCAACGATTTCCTTCAAAATAAAAGCAGGCCAATGATAACTTAAACAACTTTCTATTATTGAGGTGAAAAGACCACTGAAGTAGACAAGCCAGCAGTTGGCCATTCAACCTGCCCAACCTTTTTACTGGCCGTGGCCCATTGGAGCATTGGTTTTGATGAACCCTGGCTCTTAACAGATTTATTTTTAGATCAGTGAGACTGATCGTCTTTGGGTTTCAGTAGTGATGCATACACTGGACGTTTCCATTTTGAGTCGCATGCGCTGTGTCACTTCACGTTATCATTTCCCCTGGATCAAGATGAACAAGAACTCCTGAGATTTAAAATCGGGGATCTTGATGATGGGGTGTTAGAGGATCAATACAAGATGCCTCAGACTGAAAGATTGCACAAGTTCAGAGATGAGAGAAAAACATCTAAATTATGGAGCTGTGTTAAGTGTGTTAAATTCACCTCCATTTATGGTGGAAGTCACGTTGCAGCAATAAAATAAACAGTTGAAATCTGTCACCACAAGGTGGCAGTATATCAGCAGAAGGGTTTATTGTAGATGCCCACCCAAACCCACATTACATTTACATTGTTCTGCCTTGAAAGTCAACTTATAGTCCGGTTTTTGATGTTTCTGTGCTGATTAGTAACTGTCTGTTCTGTCCTCTTCTACTACATAACCAGCTTAAATTAAAGTTAAACTTAAAGTTATTTAGGTGCAACATGCATGTAGTGCTGTAAAAACAAATGCGTGCAGAATCTGGCAGTTGGCATGGAGTGGAAATTAAACCTAAAGAAAGCAAGAAGAACATTTAGATGATGCGTTCACAGTGTTTTACAACAGCTAGTACAGAGTTTTTTGCACAAGAATTAAAACTGAGTTAAAAGGAGTACAAGAATTCAACAAAAATGTCAGAATCTGGCTTTTAAACTCAGTTTAAGTGCTTTCGAAGTTCAGCCATGCTTCCATCTGAGTGTAGATTTGATTTTTAAATAGCCATGATAAAGTAACATCTGTGTGTTGCCACAGGTAAGCTTGTGGGATCCAGGGTGCCGTCCACTCCAGGATCCCTCCAACGCTCCCGCAGTGACATCGACGTAAACGCCGCCTCCAGCGCCAAGTCTCGTCTGTCCACTGTTCCCGCCTCCTCGCCGTTCAGCTCTGCAGCCGCTCTTCCACCAGGATCCTACGCCTCTTTAGGTAACTGATCACTCTCCTCCTTCTAACCCGCTCAAACCAAAAAGGAAGACCACTTTCTAGTATTCAGCACAAGTTGCTCACACTCTTATTTCTCAAAATGAAACATTGCGGTCTGCGTAAACGTGCACGAGGACAGATAGCTCCCCAGTAACAAACCATAGGATTCACCCAGTGAACAAACAACACAGAGTAAACAGAGGAAGTCTCGCAGATCCTTCGTTTAAGTTTGCAGAGTGAAGGAGTCTTATATATAATCACCACACAGTGCCTTTCATTATTTTATTCAATATCGTACAATCGAGATGCATTGATTACAATTAGGTCTGGTTTTTCATTACAGGAGTTCAGTTTCATCATGTGATTATTTTTGTCATGTGTTACAGAGCTTCACCACATTTCAGAAGCCTCTGTCCTTGAACATAGATTTCTTGTACTAATAAAAATGATCTGCCTGGTATCACTCACTGTGACTCTGAAAAAACACTAGATATTTTATAAAAAAATCCTGAACTACAGTCATTTTTAAATTTAATGTACAGTTAATGCCATTCACCTGACCGGTACTTCGACAGATGTACCGGTCAGATGAGCAGCAAGGCTATAGGTTTTTCTGAGGGTGATCAATCAGTTCATCTCTATTTTACAGTTAGAAGGGTTAAATGAGGAGAACACTGTTTTCCCTAGAAGAAGGTGACCCCTCTGACCCCATAATTTCCACCCGTCGTTGGGGGAATATGACACTAGTCGGATTTCCTGGGCGCCATGATGTTTAGAAGAGCAACTCGAGTAGCTGAGGGGCAAACTGAGCCTCTTCCATGTTACAGTAAGAACTACTAAAGCAGCAGTTTAGCAAAAGTCCCAAATAAACAGATTAGTCTCCTGTCATCTTGAGCTATTGAAGCATTTCTCCTGTAATCAGTGGCTTTTATGGAGCTGCCCAGGAATATTAATAACTGCTGATGTTGCCATTAGACTGTTCTGTCAACAGGAACTGTTTAAGTCCTCCACTGACACTTTACACAAATTGATTGGTTGAGGCTGAGTGGCCCCCTGCTGTGATGGCCGCCTGTTTAAGCTAATGCGAGAAGTTTAAGCCACTCCCTCCCAATAGATGAGATATTTTGTGTAATCTTTTCCCCGTGCACAAACTTCTCTCCCTGCCTTGTTCTCCTATAATGAGTCCCCATGGCTCCATAATGACCCTAACTAATTACGATGAGGCCCCTTGCTCACCCACTCATGCCTGTTGCTACTTCAATTGCTACTAATGACTTCCTCTGTGCCTCTCCTCCCACTCTCTGCTGCACTGCCTTTCTTAAATGCCCCATAGATGGCACTCCTGGTAAAAGTGATGGTAAGAACTGTGTGTATGAGTGTTTCTCTTTTGTCAGATGTCACAATGTTTACATTTCCTCTTCATCTGTGCTCTCTTTTCCTCTCTTTATCCCTTCTAAGTAGTCTTCAGTTTTGTGGACCTCTGCATGGACTGTCTGCATGGATTTCCTCCTTCTGACTGTAACCCTAACAAACGGGTCACTGCATGAAAAATCAATCAGCGGCTACCACCTGACTCCCTCACATTTTTCTACAATAACTTCACCACGCTAAATTTGACCTCCATACTTTGAATATTCTCAGCGTTACAGACCATCAGAGTACATAAGTAAAATTGGAGCTTACTCATGTGGAAAATCTTATATTTGTGAAGTTATGAGGAATCAAAAATGCACTTTGAGGGTCAGTAACTGAGAAAATAGTCCTAGTATGAAGGCTTCACTCAATATACTGAAGTTAATGTACAAAAAAAAAAAATCAGTTGATTTTGAGGCTTCAGGTCTTTTCTGATGTGGTTGATATTTTTTTTATGGAATGACCCAAATGTATCCATCAGCTGTCTAATTTGAACAGCAGTTGAATCCACTGTTACTGTATCATACTCTACAGAAAAGGTTCTCACGGTGCGCTGCAGCGTGGCATGCACTAAATGGGTCCACAGTTTGATTTCCTGTCACGGTGTCGCTACCTCCAGTGCCACTCATAGGTTTGGGGTCTCTTTGAAGTGTCCTCGTGTTGTTTAACGCTAATGAAAAAAGACACAAACTAAAAACTAACTTAGATTCTGATGACTTCAAAAAATAGATCACAGGAAAAAAACACATCGAATGAAAGGAGGGAAGGAAAAGCAACCTTCAGGCAGTAAACTGAAAGACAGACCAAGGACAAACATTCACAGTAATGGGAATAAGACACACAAGGCACACATCTGATCACACTTGACGTTTTCAGGTAACTTTATCAAGACGCATCTGCAGACTGTATACAAGTGTAACACAGGCACAAACTAATTGGTGCTCAATAATATCCAGATAAAGTCCTAGAATTTTCAGATGTCTTGGGTTAGTCAGACACTTCCATTTAAAAAAAATCAGGCACGCCCCTAATAATGCAAACATTAAGCCTTAATACAGTTTAAACAGGCAAGTTTTTTAAAAAGGTGTCATTAAATGGAACTGCAGTTTAATTCTAATACTAGCGGACCTAGTTTTCGAGTTAAGGTAACGCATTATCAACAGGCAGTAGCTTCAGCTAGTCAGTCAGTGTTACACCCATTTAAATTGTGTCAGAGCTGTAACGATAAAAACCAAAACGTGGCTGTAAACAACGGCTGCTCTGTAATGTCGTGCCAAGTGTGAGACGTAATGAGAGCTGCAGTCAGTCTCTGCAGCCCTCGCTCTGCAGGTAGGAGAGCGAGTGAAGTTCTGTTACTGAGCCTGCAGCCGCAGGTGGACGTGCACTGATGCTCACTGTACCAGCGGCGGTCTAGTATAATGCCTGAAACTGTGTAATAAAGAAGCTCAGCCTTCTTCCATGGATCAAGAAATGCAAACTGTGAGAGGAAGGAACAGTCAGAAAAATACACTCTGTGATTTTCCACAGAAAACCTGAGTGGCGTCATTAGTGTAGATGAGTTTGAATGGCCGATCAGATAAGGTTCTTTATGATCTGTAAATCTCGATGAATATATGAAGAGATAATGCACACAGTCTAATCACTTCCTATACGCCTCAAGGGGATTTATTTTTAGCATGCTGTATAATCCCTGTTATCATTGTCGCCAGTTTTCAGGTGCTATTCTTGACGTGTTGCATAAGAGCACACTTTAGATGTTCTTGCTGAGTTGGCTTTTGCCCATAACTTATCGTACAATCGTTCAGTGAACCTGCAGACTAGGCGGTTGCAGCTGTCTTCACTTTTATTGCACCTCGCACTTTATAACAGGGCTGTAGAGGTGAGAAGGTGAAAACCTTTATTGCAGAAATACATTTGTATCAAAAGCAAAATAGATCTGCAGAAGATAAAAAGTTAGGATAGAAAGATATTTTAGCTTTTCTTCCACAAATGCCCTGCAGGATGGATTTTCAATTACCCTTTTAGCTTTCAGCAATGCAAATAATTTTTGTTGCATATAAGTTTGAATGTTTGTTCAGTTAGGGTTACTTATCATTGCTGAGGACTTAGACCTGAGAAGGTTATGATAATTAAAGCCGAACTGATTGTAACCTTTTAGCCTCCGGTTTATCAGTTCTTCTTGGTTGGAATTATGAAGGTTTATCATGTTGTCTAAACTCATAGGGCAGAATGCATTTTCATTATTGTGTAAAATATGTGTGTACATGTTTAAAATATCAGAGTATTCTTTACAGTTATATAATCTTCTTTAGCCACAGAGCAGGTCTGAAGGATGTTCAGTGTTTGTTTAAGTCTCGGTCAAAAAGTCTGAAGATATTTCTTGTGGTTTCCGTTAGGGTAAAAAGGAAGTTGTTAGCTTTGCTTGCATAAGTTAATCCGAGACTTCATGTCAGGTAGGGAGGTTCAGCCTTGAGCCTAGCTTAGTGTTTTGGCCAAGGGGTGGATCTGACTGAGACACTCCATGCTGAGACAAGAGGAACATGTCAATCACAAGGTAGTCCTGCCTTAAAACATCTCATACTTTAAGGTCCTTTTTGACTCTAATGGGACAATAATTTCCAAAATGAACATCAGGTTTGATTCATTAAGACTTGAAATCAAAGACTGAGACCATAAACAACCATAGAAGAGAATCCATGTTCAATGGACTCTAGAAACTCGAGAAAATACAACACGCACATTAAATTAAAACACCAGTTATTGATTACCATACTCTGTCAAAGCTGCTTTGTAGCTGGGTTGGCCTGCATGGACAGATGACAGTGACAGCACTTCTTACCATGAATGAAGGAAGCTTATTGTAATTACACAGAATTGTTTTGAATCCAAACTCTAGAACTGAAAAGTAATGCAAGGAATTACTAAACAGGCAAAGCAAATAACCTTTGACGATCACCACAACACACTCCGGTGACATGCAGCCATGCACTAAACTGCTGAACACGTCATTTTCAAACCCAAGACACCCTTTTTCAGAGCAAAAATCAAAGCAACATAGATACCCTACAATATTATAGAAATAAACCCAATAATCCATTGATTCCCTATGAGAACCACGGGGCAACACTAAGACAGCAGGTAGACTCATGGACGATGACTATCTACTGATTGGGTGGGCGAGGGAACTTAGAGATCTTTCTTATTTCCCTCCTTTACATATGAACACAGAGTTTAAGTTTACCTTAAAAAAAATACTTTTTAAGTTCATTTTAATGAAACATTGGAATTATGTCAATGTATGGTCTTTAAAAAGTCCTTTCCTGACTAGCACGAGTTACAGATTCAGGAATGCCTTTCCTGTCTGGTGGGTCACAAGAAACACTGAGAACTATTTGTGAACACTAACAAAGCCAGGTTTGTCTGTTTCCCCTTCATGTTTTCAGAGCAGCTCTGTCTCCTCATCCAGGTCTGCTTCATTCTGTTTCCTCAGACTTCTTCTTCTCCAGTGTCTCTGTCCAGGGCTGGGTTGAACCGCAGTCAGTCACTCCCATCTATTAAACCTTCTCCACCCCCCACCCCCCCCGCTCTTTCTCCCTTTTCTTTTCATCCAGGTCGCGTTCGCACAAGGAGACAGAGCTCGGGCAGCGTTGGCGGAGCCAGCTCTTCTTCAGTGGTGGACAGCAGGGGGCGTAGTCGGGCCAAAGTGGTCTCACAGTCCCAGCGTATGTATAGACACCTCATGCACGTGCTTAAACAGTGATGTTAGAGTGAAATGTGAGCGTGAAGCTGTTTAACCAGCTTTTGCACATCCGGCTTTACAAAGCTGCAAAGCCTGCGCTGAACATTCATTATTGTGTGCTGCTTCAACATCCCCTCGACATGTTTCTTCTGTGCAGTCTTTGTGTTTTTGTGTATGTGTGCCTCCATGCATGCACGCTTTGTTGCTTTTGTGTGTTTTGTGTTATCTTTGTACGTTGCTTAGATCTGTGAGCTCACAGCTAACATGTCCACAGCCACCCAGAGTGCATGCTGGGAACAAATCAATGAACATAACCCCTTCTGTCTCATTCTGACTGATCTCGATCTCCACCCTGTCCTGCCTATCGCTTGCATCACCCAGGATCAAGATCAGCCAATCCCATCAGTGGTAAGGCCTCAGCTTCATCCAATCACAAGACAGATGCCTCACCTTTCATACCTGACTTATAGCATTGCGTTAAATCTTCATTGTATCCTCACTGTTTGGTCAGTAATATCAGTCAACCACCGTCTTTGCCCATCATAGTCTAAAACTGCACCAATTTAATTTTAGCGACTGGATGGATGGTTGGTTGGATAGAGACTTTATTGATCCCACAAGGAAAATGATTGTGTTACAGCATTAGCCAGATAACGAATAAAATGGTACAGTCTGCAATGAATAAACAACATAGTTAATTGCATATTAAAGGCCTTATACTTTAAGAAAGAATGCAAAAATGGTATATATACAACAATTAAATTGAAGTTGGTTGAAGAAAAGTAAAAGTAAGACTCATCTGGTGCAAGAGAGTAGTGCAAATTGCATTAATAAGTGATACTTTATAAATCTAAGAAACAGCTGCAAGACAGTAAATTTGATAGGTAAAATTGGTAAATTGGTCAATTTTGGTAAACAAGCATTACCCACAATGCACTTTTCTCCAGTGAATGATCAGAAAACTACCATACTTGTGTCATCTCTTCTATGTCGCAGACATTAAACTGCTGCAGTTTATTCAAACTATGACATTTCAAATACGAATGCAAACGGTGACATCGCCAACGACAGCAGTGATTCGACGCAGTTCTATAAATTAAGTCCACTCTAAAGCTTTGCACGTAGTCTCGTGTGTCACCCTACAGTATCTGCATGTTTCTCACACTTTCCAGCTATTAGTAATTTTGTGAGGTTTTGTTGGGGTTTTTTTCCCACTGTGGAAGGCATTGTGTGTTCCCATTTACTTTGAACAGGTGTCCCCACTTCCTTCACCCCACATGTCCAAGCTGTAAATTTCGTTTTTGATTGTTTAACCTTCAAGTGACCAAGTTACGTGTTTCTGTGTGCCACATGTTTCCTTCCTACATGGTTTCTGTGAGGAAAGCTTTGTGAATTTTTTTAAAATCATTAATTTGTTGGTAATTATTCTATAGTTAGGCTTTTCATTTTCAGATATTTTTAGTGTTTCTCTAGAAAATCTGTGAAATCTTTCACATCTAAAAAAACAAAAAAAAAAAACAGACTTGTGGAAGTAACAAACAAACAGCCTGATATTTCTGTAATTGTGCACATTTACTAAGCATTATCTACAGCAGTGTTTCCCCACGTTTTGGAGCCACAGCACATATTTCACATTACAAAAATCACATGGCACCACCAAACAAAAATGTCACAAAAAGCATATATTAAGATATCTCAGAGAGGAGAGTTTCACTAGTCCGGCCCACAGATTTTCAAAGTTACATGGTGGCCCCCCACCATGTAAAACTGGTGGGCCACATCACCGAGGAGTTTAACGTCCCTGTTTTAGATGGTCTGTCATGTAACAAACAAAACAGTGAATGGGTGGGACAGACAGACAGATCCATTACAAAAATAAAATAAAAGCAAGGAAAGAAAGTCTAAAATCTGATGGTCCCACTTGGCCGTTTTAGTGGCTAACACAGCTCGGTCACTTGATGGTTTACGACTGTAATTTACGTGTCTTTGAAGCTCTGTGTTGTGACTGTGATTCACCTTTAAAGATAAGTGATGGGTTTGTGCCTAAAATAGAAGAACACATCATAATCTGTCAGATTTATGGGCTGCAGTGTCCTCACAGGACTTCATCATCCCTCACTCATCCAAGCCACTATCTCAGCCACTTTTTTCCTGTTTGTCCTTTTTAATTTTTAATTTTTTTGTCCTAACAGCCGGCAGTCGCTCCAGCTCTCCGGGTAAGCTACTCAGTCACAGCAGCTACGGACGGATCCCTCGAGCCACGGCATCAGCCTCCACCACTCCGGCAGACAAGCGCAGCAGGATCCCTCGCAGCCAGGGCTGCAGCCGGGAAACCAGCCCCAGCCGATTAGGCCTTGGTAAGAACCTGACTCTGGAGCGACACACTCGCTGCATTTACTATCTGTATACGACAATAACATAGAATTAAACTTAAAGCACCTTCAGAAACAGGAAAAGTTCACAGAAAGTGCCGTCTAGTTAAGGCAAACAGTAAAAGTGTACAAAAATATGGAACATAAAACTTCAGTTATGATGGCATTTAGAACAATTAAAAGTCAAATGTGATAGCAATGCAATAAAAAGCACAGCAAACATTAACAAACCTGCATAAATAACAGTAAAAATGTAAATTAGGCCCCAGTTATGATAAAAGTAGAATAAACAAATAAGAGAATCTACACATTAAAGAGAATGCAGTATGAAACAGTGGACATAAACAACGGGGAGTCTGTGCACAGAGACACGCACGTCTCCACCAAGCATTGCAAACTGAGGGAATCCACGTTTCAGTAAATAATAATAATAAATTACTGTTATACTATTCATTTAGTTAGCATTTTTAAAATGCCTAGGCAGAGTTCTATATAGAATGCAATAAAAGAGCTTACCATCAGTAATAAAGATACAATAAGGATGAACATTATTTAAAGTGAGGCATAAAGCTTCCATCAAAACATAGAACAATCAGAATAATATGACCTGTAAGTATGAATAAAATAAATAAAAAATATAAGTGAGGAAGAAAGTGGTAGAGGAGAAATAAAAACATGTGAAAAATATATGTTTAAAAAAACTCTTAAGGAGAGATTTAAGGGTAGATGTTCAGTCACATGCCTGAAGAATGTGTTAATGATGCGCGGCTTGTTTATAAAACCCTGAATATAAAGATTCTTATTAATTGAATTCTTACAAGTGATGATTTTTGAAATGGCTCCT